ATCTATCTATCTATCTATCTATCTATCTATCTATCTATCTATCTATCATCTCTATCTCTATCTATCTCCCTCCCTTCCTCCTGGTCAAAAATATGTTTTATATTTTATTATAACATGATCCATGATTTAATTTAAGTATTTCTTTATTTAAACCATTTTAGTTTTTAGTGAAACTTTTTTCCCCCTTTCTCTGTTTTGTTTTTTAAAAATTGTCTCCTGTATTGTGCCAGCCAAGCATGTTTCTACCAGGAAACTGCTGAAATAATTTCATATTCAAGTATGATTGCTACAGTTGTTTATGCATCAATTCTATTCACTGATTGCAGTGGCATCTACTTTTAGGCTGTTTTATTTGGCTACATTTTGCTTAGAACAGCCTACACTAGCTGTGCTTGTGTGATATACTGTCACACAAAGTAGTCAAAAATATTTTAGTCTAGAATATTGTGCAAACATAACCAGAAGACTTAGTTTATAGTTCAATGTATTGGGCCAATACAGAATACATTGTAGCCTTGCATTCCAGCAACACGTGAGTAGAATTTGACAATTATTTTAAGTTAATAATAATAAAAATGGGATAATTGAATCAATCTTAAGAAGACATGGATTAATGAATAAAATAAGTCAACTATGGTTAAGCACATCATGCAATTTCAGCTTTCGTGCGGCCATCTTCTGTGAGTAGCCAGTTAATGTTTAATGTTTCACATTCCCAAGATAATGTGAGAAATTTAGAGCTGTACATTAAGGGCTAATTAGTGTTGCACATGCTGGGAATTTTTCTAAAGATCCATAAAAAAAGAAGTGCTGCTTGTCCGTTTATATTATTTGTCATATGAACTGTCATTTGTTTTAATAAATCTTTGCCTTGGCCAATGTGTTATATGTACAGTGCAAACTTAATAGCTATTTCACAAGGACTAACATTGCTCAATTACGATTCTAAGGGCACATCAAACCTGTGGAATTAATATGATTGCCCAAGTGCATCATATACTCTGTATTTATTCTTTATGTAAGTAATTTAAGCAAGAGAACATCAATCAAAGATGTTTGTGTTTTGTTCTGTTGTTTTTTGCTGGTACAGACTATTTCTTAATCAGAAACTTAGTTCTTTGGAAGTAAGCCCTGAGGTTTGTACATTTTTAGAATCTATCTTCTGGGTCTAAATGGCAGTTATCTTTGGATGGTTTCTCCAGAGGGAGATTGTTTTAAACAAAACTCTTGGGAAACATTGAACTTCTTAGTACAGTTGCAAACGAACCCTCCCCTTCCTGAGCTGGCCTATCATAGATTAAACATTTTATGTGTTGTACAGGGTGGAGAAAAGTTGCTCATGTATTCCTCAGAGCCAAAGCAATCAAGGAGAGAAGTCATTTGTAGAAGAGCTTGGGCAGATTCTAAGCAGGGATCCTGGAATACATGGCGACTGCTGGGAAGGTAAGGGAGACTCTTAATCAAAATCTGCCTGGACAGCAACATGGTTATTAGACAACTTCTAAAATGGAAGCATTAAGCGTTGCCTAAAAATGTGTGGAGCATTTCTGTGAATTTCACTTGTGCTGATTTACTCTACGCTCTGCAAAGGTCAGGCTTGAAGAACCATTCAACACTTGTGAATTCAAAAACCAAATCTTCCTGGCAAGTAAAACATTAAGCGTTCTGGAGCATTGTTGAAATGATTTAAAATTCTGTTGTGGGTTAGAAAATGTATAGTCTTTTGGTTGCTTTATTAGAGTATAGTATTCTTATTCTTCACCTAAGCTCTAGGCAGAAAAATGCTGACACAATCAGTCTTGTGCTTACAGTACTAAGACTTAGTGCTGTCTATGGAGTATTTAAAACACTCACAATATCTTTTTATATTGGACTACTCGAATCATTTCAAGATTGCACTGGAGATGTTGGTTAGAAATAATGGAATCATGATCTAATCCATGGTATCAGAATAAAGCAGAAAACCGTGTTGCTGTGTTTCATGTTATTTTGCTCTGTTGAGGTATTTCCAGGATGAGAGCAGGAGCATCATCATCTAATAAGCCTTGTGGACAAGAATTTGTTCCCAAATGTGATATTAGGCGGTTTCACCTTGGGGGCTTTAAATGTTGTACCATATTTGATTTAAATTGATAGTATTTTCATTCAAAGGGTTTGGTCATGTAAATGTGGACAAACCTTCCTTCTTCACCATGCAGCAGTCCAACATTACTGAGAGCCAGTTTGGTCTAATGGGGAAGGCTCCAGGCTAGAAATCAGAAGAGTGTGAGCTTTAATTCCACTTTAGGCTTGAAAGCTAACTGAATGACTTTGGCCCAGTAACTCTCTCGCAGTCCAACTCACCTCACAGGGTTGTTGTTGTATAGAAAGTAGTAGGGAGAAGAGACTTAGATATGTTTGGTGCCTTGAGCTTTGAGTTATTTATAAAAATAAAAATCTTATTTTTTTTTCTTGCCATGAGGAAAACTAATTGAATCTGACTCATTCTTGCAGTTTAACAGAAATGTGCCTAGAGTAAACAAAAATAGTGTAGGTATATGTCTGCATGTGTTTCCATAGGAATGTTCAAAGCAGAGTTTTCAGTCAGAAATCTTTGGATTTAGGTCTAACACTTCTCACTCTTAGAATCTCTCTCCTGCGGCTTTACAAGCTCATCTAAATATGGGGACAACTTTTCCTCTTTCGTTTGTTTTGCATTCATGGTACAAGACTCTCAAGTAGCTTTTTTACTTAGTAATAAATTAGAACAAATGTAAAATATTATGACATGCCAATTTTGCCAAACGAAAAAGAGAACTACTTTTAAACAAAGTGAATGTATGTGTGCTTGAGATGAGGGTAAACTATTTCATACATGTGAACAGAGATTGTACAATTACAGCCAGACCAGAAATGAAAGCTGGGAATAGTTGCTATGCATACATAGCAGTACATGTTAGACGTTCCTTTCCTCTTTATGCTATATATCCTTTTACTGTTTGTGCCAGTTGTGTGCCTTTGAATCGGTTTTTGACTCTTGGTGACTAACCTGGAACCTTAACCCCTACACACCAAACTGGTTCACGTAATTAACTTCTGTTATTACTTACCTACTTACCTATGTATTGACAATCCTACTTCCATCTGTCTATTTATCTGGTAGATAATTAATTACATAGTTAAAATTTACAAACTGGTTTTTGGCAACAGCTGGAAGTTCTGTAGTATTTCCAGATAGGAATTGGTACAGTTTTCTTTTTATGAAAAAACCTTTTCTTAGTTTCTGGTTTTTGCAAGTTCAGTTGGTTGGTATGGAAGGGTTTTTATTTCCTCAAAGAACTTGACTTCATATAGGTATGTAAGCATGTCTTTATGAACCTATTTCCATGGATGTTTTGTTGCAATTCTGTATATTATATTTCCAAGCATATCTCCTAACATAAGGCAGACCTTCCTTGATGATGTCTTTTTTTTGATGAACCTATTACAGATTACAAATATTTAGCTGCAATTGTATGCAGTTAGCTGAAAGTAAACCCCATTTAACATTCTGCACAAATATGACTGGGGTGTCTCTCCTCCTACTGTTTAAAGTGTTCGCCCATCTATAACCCTGCAGAAAACTAAACTAACAAAGATTTTGTAGTTTTGATTGCAATTTGAATTGCCTTACTTCTGGCTTGCAGATCAACAATAGTGTCCTCATGTCCCATGCCAGAAAAGCTACCTTCAATGTTCTTACTTCTCAGAGTCACCAGCAAATCGTCTGCTCCAATATTAGTGTAATCCAGGGATGTCAAACTTGATTTCATTGAGGGCCGCATCAGGGTTGTGTTTGACCTTGGTGGGCTGGAGTGGGCATGGCCAGGGGCATGGCCAACTTGATGTCACTTGTGTCGGGGTACCTGTGGTGGCCCAAGCACTCTGCCAGAGAAAACAGGCTCCTGAGCTCCATTTTTGGCTGTGACAGCCTCCTGCAACCCTCTGCCAGCAAAAATGGAGCTCAGGAGCCCATTTTCCCTGGCAGAGCGCTCAGGCCATCACAGGCACCCCCGACACAAGTGACATCGAGCTGGCCATGCCCACCCTGGCCACGCCCACCCAAGGTCAAACAACCCTGATGCAGTCCTCAAAAACTCTGTTTTCACTGGCAGAGGCACCATGGCCAGTCCTTCACTGTTTCCAAGGTGGCCCTGCGGGCCAGATCTAAGCATCCTGTGGGTCAGATCTGGCCCCCAGGCCTTGAGTTTGACATCCCTGGTGTAATCAATGGTGGTTTTGACATATCAGTCTCTGCCTCCTTTTCTCTGAGCAGGCTCCACTTGGCCTGCACTTGGCCTGCCTGGTGATTGAGACATCTTTCAAAACTTACCTGCCATCTCCTCTGGCCTCTGGAGAAAAGCTCTTTGCCCATCACGGCTGTGTTCTCCTGGATCAGATGCTTGGTAGATTCAGATATTTGAGGCTTGACAATAACAGCCTCCCCCTTTGCCTGATGTTCTCCTAGCAGCCATTAAGCCTCAAAAATAAATTATAGAAATTGATAGAGAGGGTGGGTACAGTAGTAGATAGTGCGCTGGCCTTCTCTTACATTTCTTTTTGTACCCATTCCCTCTACCTCTGCTTGTCAACTGTTATGGGGACTGGTCTACAACTTAGTTTGGATACCTGGTCGGTACAGGGGAAAAGCCTAGCTTGAAAAAAAAAAGTATTTCCCCATTGTGCACATCACTATGCTCCTAGTGGTAATGCCTAGGGATCAAGAGGAATATCTCGACCCCTTTCTAAATTGGACAATAGGTACAAAGTTAATTCCACTCCTTACTGATAGAATGATTGGAGAAGCACTTCAGATTGTATCCACAGTAAAACTGCCATAACTTGTTGAATTAAACCCAAGAGGTTTAACTGCTTTCCTTTCCTGGTTCAATAGTTCTTGTCACTCCTCTGGCTTACCAGACATATTCTGAGGGCATATTTGTTCATTCTTCTGAATTCTTTTGATGGTCCATGTGTACGCAGGTGATTAAATGTAAAGCTGCAGTCATCTGGGAACCAGGCAAAGCATTTTCGATTGAAGAGATAGAAGTAGCACCACCAAAGAGCCATGAAATTCGAGTGAAGGTAAAATAAAAAAAGGACATCCCTTGCAATGAATAAATTAGTAGAGTAGTAAAATTTGTATTTAGCTTGCATCTAAACTATTGAGACTTGCTGCAAAGGCTACTGCTTAGGAAAACATAAACAAACTTGAACCAAGATGTTGCTATCTGAAATGTTCCTGTTGATGGTTGCTCTGTCACTCATCCAGTTCTTGTTGGCTTTTTTTTCAAAGGGGTTTCCCATCAGAATCGTTTTGGAATAAATGTTTTGTTATTGCTGACAGCTTATTGACCTCTCTTTTGTGCTTGGGTACAGGCCTGCTTGTGAAATAAGTTCTTGACTATATCACATTACTGGTGGTCCATAGAGATTGTTCTCCTGCAACAGTTGCTTTTCTTTTGATAAGCTGGCGGTAGAACTGTTGTAAAGTAAAGGTAATGGTTCTCCTCGCACATACGTGCTAGACGTTTCTGGCTCTGGGGGAGGCGGTGCTCATATCCGTTACAAAGAACCAGCGCTGTCCAAAGATGTCTCCGTGGTCATGTGGCCATCATGACTAAACACTGAAGCACATAGAGCGCTGCTTACTTCCCACCAAAGTGGTCCCTATTTTTCTATTTGCATTTTTACATGCTTTCGAACTGCTAGGTTGGCAGAAGCTGGGTCAAGTAGCAGGAGCTCACTCCATTATGCAGTGCTAGGGATTCAAATTGCTGAACTGCCGGCCTTTCTGATCGACAAGCTCAGTGTCTTAGCCACTGAGCCACCGCGTCCCCTAGAACTGTTGTACTCTACAGAAAAAGGAAATATCCAAATCACCAGATTCTGCATCAACAAGTATTTTGCATCCAGAATGAAGAAGGCAACTTGTATATACTTTATACAACCAGTTTTTAATGAGACCACTGTTCAAAATTTGATAACACCCAAAACAAATTATTTCGAAAAGTGCCAACACAGAAACCAATATATTTGGTGTTCTTTCATGTAATCTCCAAACTAAAACTCCTTTTTCTTCCTTCCTTTAACTGTATAACTGTTGTGTGATGTGATTGGGAGGATTGTCCTGTTTGAAGGCTTCTACAAAGCATCTTCTGGGTTGCACAAAGAGAATGCTGTATTAGATAGGCTTTGGGTCCGGTGAAGCTTTTTAGGCGAAAATATGAATAGGACCTAAGAATTGAAATGACATACTCTTATCCGTACAGATGGTAGCCACTGGGATCTGTCGGACTGATGATCATGTATGGAAAGGTTTTTTTCCAAACATAGACTACCCTGTTATTGGGGGCCATGAAGGAGCAGGCATTGTTGAAAGTATTGGACCAGAAGTCACTTGTGTAAAACCAGGTAAGGATAAGATAGAGAAATTATTCATATTGGATAGTATATTACTAGGAATTTTAGGCAATTTTGAACATGCATCTATATTTTGAAATATTCAAAAGAGATAAGATTCCTTATTCTCTTTTGATAATAATTACAAAATGCCACACTCTTTAAATGCACACATATAATTACACAGTATACATTACAATTTTGTTGGTTGTTTGGAGGAACTTGATACATATGAAGGCCTAGATCAGCTAAACTGCAAGCCATGGTTTGATATTGTTGTGTTTATTATAATAATATCCTAGGTACTTGGGAAGGGCTCAAAAGGTAAACAAAAATGTTGTATGCAGTCTAAATATCTGGCTGACTTTGCAAGCAAATTATACAAATTATTAAATTTGTATATGGCATCTGGCAACAGTTGGTGGTTGCTCACAATAGTCAGGCAAAGACATTTCAATCAAATCAGTAAATGATAAAAGATGGCAAACATGATTAAATTATGCCAAGCAAAAAAGCCATTTTTTTCCTACCAATTCTCATTCTATTAAGGAGATTATTCAGAGCTAAATGGGGCATCCTTGGGCCTCTCTGAGTTCAGAGTGCCACGGACCCCTCAGTTCGCATTCAATTTGATGAAATGAATATGTATTCAACTTTTATTACAAACAAGAAAAGATTATTGGTGAATTTCCCTTGCGTGGAACCTTGTTTTTGTTACAGCACAGCTATAACCCTCTGCTCCTCATCAGAATTATGCACAGTGCAACCTGAAACAGTGCAATCTCTCTCTTTGGTTTTTCAGTATAGGAAGTGGCTACCAAAGGGGTTTCAGAATAATGGAAAAAAGTGACATCAGCAACAGGAACCTTCTTCCACTTTGAACAATAATTTTATTTTCCATTTTCTCTGTGTAATATTTTACTAGTTTTAGTCCAAGTACCTTTGGAGGAAAACTTCACTGTTTATGAACACATTTTAAAATAACATGTTTATTAGGTAAAAATTACTCGCACAAGATTCAAATCTTGCGCTAGTGCAAGCATGATACCTTGCTGTTCTTAAAGGATGCTTTACCAATGGCAGCTCCTGCCTAAATATCATACAACTCTGTGTGGGTCAGTCTTTGAACATGACTAGAAGCTGTAGCTGATCCATAGTCAACCTCACCTTTGCAAGCTAGCAAAATCACAGCACTGGTTACCAGTAAGCTTCCAGTCCCAAATCAAAGAGTTGGTCATATCTATAGGGAGCCCCATATGGAGTAGCATCAAGGTATATCATGAAGAGCCGTGCCAAGCAGGTCCACTAAGTCCCTTAGAGCAGGGGTCCCCAACCACCGGGCCGTGGACCGGTCCCGGTCCGTGGAACATTTCCTACCGGGTCGCGGTTTGCTGGGCGCCGCCATCTTGTTTGATGAGAAAGTGCTTCTGGGTGAGCTTTTCCGGTTGGAAAGCAGTGTTTGGGTCCTGAAGGAATCCTCGCACCTTAGTTTTATCGAAGGGGGGGCTTCGAATGAAACTAAGGCGCGAGGATTCTTTCAGCACCCAAGGCAAGGCGAGCCGAGTGACCGTCCCAAAGCCGTCCCGAAGCGAAGCCCATCGACAAAGGTACAAAGGAGGAGTTGAAGGTGGCGGGGAGAAGCAGGAGACGGCTGGCTGGCCGGTCGCTCGGCTCGCCTTGCCTTGTCATGCGTGCTGATGCCGGTACCGGGCCGCGGATCATTTTGTGATGCCAGTACCGGGCCGTGGCACAAAAAAGGTTGGGGCCACTGCCTTAGAGGTTAGAGTCATGGACCACGGATGCCTTTTCGGCTGTAGTTCACACACAATAGAATTTTCTACTCCTGGAGGTCCATGCCCGCCCCCCTTAATGGCATTTTTAAAAGGGCCCAAAATGTCCATATTTCACCAAGCTTTTTTCAGAGTTCCAATATTGTTCTGAACTGTTTCATATTTTTAATCTGCTGTCTCTCACCCAAACTCTTCTAATGTGTAGGCTGTAAAAACTGCAAATGAATAAAGAAGCCACCCCATTTTTTCCCAAGCCTTTTCAGGGGCCTGGAGGGGCGGGGAAGTCGCGGCTACTTAAAAATTATGTGAACAGTTGACTTCTTAAAACAGCAGCACTTTTCCTCTGGGTTCATGCAAAAGCCTGAAAAAAAGAAAAAGCTGTTTTAGAGAATAGCAAAGAGGAGGTGACCTAAGATCTGAAATACATTTTAGGAATTACCAGAGGTTGGCTGCACTTACGTTAGGAACCAGCTCTTTGGTTGTGAGCACTCCCTTGGGGAGTGAAACGCCACTTCAACATGAAGCTAATCAACTTAGGCAGCTCCAGTGAGTACAACAGGGGCAGCACAGAACTCAGCTGGGCAACATGGGTGGGGGGAATGTTATGAGGTATAAATGGAAAGGATATCACAGGGTTGCATGGGCAGGCCTAGCCAACAATCACAACTACCAGTTCGCCTGAACTGGTGTAACCAGCACCACTGGGAATTACTCTCTGCCTAAATATTGATTCCTTGAACTTGTATTAACATGCTGTGGGATTTTTAACCCCCAAAAAGATGACATTGGGACTGATTTTTATTCCCTGCAAGGTGACAAAGTCATTCCTCTCTGTGTTCCTCAATGTGGACAATGTGACTGCTGCTTGAGTCCAAAAGCCAACTGCTGTCTCAAATCCCAGTAAGTTTGTTGTACATATTACTTCTTTGGGTTTTCCAGTTACAGCAGGGGTGTCAAACTCAAGGGCCCATGGGGTGCTTAGATCTGGCCTGCAGAGCCACCCTGGAAACAGCAAAGGACTGACCTGCAATGCCTTTGCCAGCAAAAATGGGGCCAGGGGGAATGTGTGGCCCACCCGAGCTCCATTTTTGCTGGCAGAGGGTTGCAGGAATGGCTGAAAACGGAGCTCAGGAACCTGTTCTGACCTAGGCTTCACAAAATCACGAAACAGACTCCTTGTCCCGACAAAAACCCTTTTATTATTATTTATTCCTATGATTCACATGCAGCAAAGTCCCGGCAAACAGACTTTCAAGGGTGAATTATAACCACAGACCTTATCAGGCTTGGAGAGCTGCCAGGCCGATAGCTTCCAAGCGCAACACTGTACAAGAAAATACTTGGCAAAGAGTCTCTGAGAGTCACGAAAAAAATCTTCACACTAATTAAACGAACTAATTGTCTCCTGCAAACACCCTTTCATTCCTCTTTATTCCCTATGGGAGGGGCCATTCACCATCCACCTGTGCCTTTACTCCCAAATCAACCCTTGATCCTTAACTGTTTCCTTCTCCTGGCAGCTCTGCGCATGCACACATCAGGAACAGGCTCCAACTGTTCTTCTGCCCCACTGATCTCTGACTCCGAAGGGAGCTGATAACTGTCGGATGGCCCCCAACCTCCACACTGTCCAAGTTTACTACCAGCTCCGCTGGTCACTGGTGGGCCACAACAGAACCCTTTTTTTGCTGGTGGGAGTCTTGGGCCATCACAGGCACCCCCGAAATGAGTAACGTCAAGCTGGCCATGCCCATCCCAGCCCCTGAGGTCAAACACAACCCTGATGCAGTCCTCAATGAAATTGAGTTTGACACGCCTGAGTCACAGGGACCATTTCTGAACAATCCAGTTTATGACAAAACACTGACTTGAATCTCCTCAAACAGCATTTATAAAGCTTTTCAAAGTCTGATGCCAGATGGAACCAGCAGGTTCACCTGCCGGGGGAAACAGATTCATCACTTTCTCTGGATAAGCACCTTCTCCGAGTACACGGTGATGCCTGACGCATCTATTGTAAGAATTGACGATGATGCTCCTCTGGATAAAGTTTGCCTCTTTGGCTGTGGCTTTTCAACTGGCTATGGGGCTGCCATCAATTGTGCCAAGGTAAGAAGAACTGCATGCTTCCTGCATAGGTTGGAAGAAGAGTTTGTTCCATATCTTCTAGAAATGAACCTTGATTTGTTTTGCTTTAGCTGCAGCCTGTGGTGTAAATATAGCTACTATGCTTTGAGTAATCCTAATCTATTGTGACTGATTTACAGTACATTGTAAATACGGTGTTGATTTTGGCTTGATATAAGTTGTGAATCCAGTTATTAAGATTATTAAGATTGGTAAATCATGATTCGTGGCTTAGTGCAACAGTGACAAACAATGGCTTATTGTAACATGGAAACTCAATCATGGGTCTAAATGCACACGTTTTGCAAGGTTATCATGCTGCTAGTTTGGATATAGAGAAGTAATGTCAAACATCCTTGTCAATTTATTACACATCATGCAATAAATTATATTTTCTTTCCAGTCCTAGGTTATACCTTTTGTTACTATGTATTCCGACCTTCTTATTATATTCCATTGGTTGATTTTGTGGTGTTGCCTTTTTTTTCTTGAAACTAAAACTATTTTTATTGAATCCTGCTCAGTCTTATTTATTTTATTTATTAAATTTATACACTACCCATCATATGGTTTGAGGTGACTCTCAGTTTTATGTCCATGTTTGCCTTCTTGTCCTAGGCTTTGTTAGTTCTCATGCCATCTTAATCTATCCAGTTTCTGGTTTTGTTTGGGTGTCTTTCAATACAAGATTCTTCTTGGTGTGATTTTTTTTTTCAGGTTGAGCCTGGTTCTTCCTGTGCCATTTTTGGCTTAGGAGGTGTTGGTTTGTCTGTGATTATGGGTTGTAAAGCAGCTGGAGCATCCAGGATTATTGGGATTGACATCAACAAGGATAAATTTATGAAGGCCAAAGAATTAGGAGCCACTGAATGCATCTGCCCGCAAGATTTTGAGAAGCCGATTCATGAGGTGCTTGTTCAGAAGACTGGTCTTGGTGCGGACTATACATTTGAAGTGATTGGACGCATTGACACAGAAGTATGTGATTTGTGTTGGCAATAATTTCTTAGGTTCAAATTTCCATTTTGTAGCAGAAAGCATCTTCAGATATTAGGTTTAACATTCAAGCAGAAAATATCCTAGTATCTTGTAGTCACATATTCTATATTGGGGGAGGGGAGAATCTTTTTCCATCTTCTGGGGAACATACAAACATTAAATATATGTCCAATACATGCACGCTTTGGTATCTTTGTAGTAGTATCTGTAAGTCAATCTGGGATTATGATTATAAATAATCTCATTCTTCTTCTCCTCCTCCTCCTCCTCCTCTTCTGTTACCCAGAGGACAAATGAGCAAACTGATATATTGATTGGTCCTTTCAGTTACAGCTATATACAGATAGTCCACAGTTGAGTCCAAAATTCATGTTGCTAAGTGAAACATTTGTTAAATGAGTTTGCCCCATTTTACAACTTTTCTTGCCACCGTTTCTAAGTAAATCTGGATTCCCCATTGAGTTTACTTGTCAGGTCACAAAAGTGGATCACATGATCCCAGGGCATTGCAACTGTCATAATTGTGAGTCAGTTCCCATCTGACTTTTGATCACGTGACCCTGAGGTTTCTGCAATCGTCATAAGTGTGAAAAATGGTCATAAGTCACTTTTTTCACTGCTGTTGTAACTTTGAACAGTCATTAAATGAATTATTGTAAGTCGAGGACTACCTGTACTGCCCATATTTTGACACTAGGTAAAAGAAAGAAGTAAGGAGAAAGAGGTTCCTGGTTCCCACAAGAAAGAGAAGGTTGTTTGTTCCATCCAAACAACCTCTTCCATCAAAACAACCAGACCGTGAATGAAACTATTGTCCAGCTTCAATTCTTGTTTCTGAATGCTGAGTCAGATGCACCAAGGTTGTGCATCTCCTGTTCACTCTTGGATGTATCGATGTTCTCTTTTTTAATATAAGCAATGCCTCTAGGATTGTGTACAAGCTATCTGTGGAAAACTTAGACAACAGTCTGTTCACTTTAATTACTTAGCTTGTTTTTCTTTGGGTCTCAAATAGGTCAGTGCCCTCGCGTCTTCCCACATGGGCCATGGGATCTGTGTGCTTGTGGGGGCACCTCCTGCAAAATCACAGCTCTCTTTTGACCCTGCTCTCCTGCTCACAGGAAGGAAACTAATAGGCTGTCTGATTGGAGGTATGCATTGGCTAATGTGGGCCATAAGATATTTCTAACCGGTATGTGATTCATTTTTCAAAATAAGATGTATAGTTTCAGATTGGTCCAGCTTGGTATAAAATTGTATAAAGTTGTCTTGACTCTTCTAAAGAATTCTATCTACTGTCTGCGTAGTTTCAGCCTCTGAATTGTCTCCATTTTCCATTGCTGGATTTAAGCAGAGAATAGGGGGCTTTGGTTAGGAAATGCTGTTTTGATCAAGATTCAGAATAGGATAGGAATAGGAACAGAATTAGGAATAGGAATTGGAATTGGACTTGAACTTAGAATAGAATAACAGAGTTGGAAGGGACCTTGGAGGTCTTCTAGTCCAACCCCCTGCACAGGCAGGAAACCCTATACCATTTCATACAAATGGTTATCCAATCTCTTCTTGAAAAACATCCAGTGTTGGAGCATTCACGACTTCTGGAGGAAAGTTGTTCCACTGGTTAAGTGTTCTGTCAGGAAATTTCTCCTTAGTTCTAGGTTTCTTCTCTCCTTGATTAGTTTCCATGCACTCAGGAGCTTTGGAGAATAGGTTGAACCCAGTGGTGGGATTCAATTTTTTTTTACTACCAGTTCTGTGGGCGTGGCTTGGTGGGCGTGGCCGGGGAAGGATACTGTAAAATCTCCAGTCAGAGATGGTATTTACCAATTCTCCGAACTACTCGAAATTTCCGCTACCGGTTCTCCAGAACTGGTCAGAACCTGCTGAATACCACCTCTGGTTGATCCCTTCTTCTTTGTGGCAACCCCTGAGATTAGCTACAATTTTCCTAAGAAATGACATTATAATGAAAAATGAATAATAAACACTAGCCCCTTTTCTCGTATTTATCATTGTAAGTATTGTGATCAGAGGTGGTATTCAGCAGGTTCTGACCAATTCTGGAGAACCGGTAGCGGAAATTTTGAGTGTTCAGAGAACCGGCAAATACCTCATCTGACTGGAGATTTTACAGTATCCTTCCCCTGCACACACACCCCACCAAGCCACGCCCACAGAACCGGTAGTAAAAAAAATTGAATCCCACCACTGATTGTGATATAATTTAAGAATATGCATACAGTTCAGCTTTCACCAGCCTAATATTCACAAATTGCATCATTTCAATATTTTGAAGGACAAATTTATTATTGATGCAGCAGAGTTGATGATACTGAAAAATCAGAATCATGATTCTGAAAAAAATTAAATTTTCAGTTCTTTTGTGCAAAAGAACAAATAGCTCACATAGTATTCCTGTTTGTCTGATTTTAAAACCCAGGTTGGAAATTAAAAGATGCTCTCCCTAAACTTGTTTTGGATTATATGAAACAAAAATTTAATACAGATGCATTAATATCTCATGAATTGCCTTTTGAAAAGATCAGTGAAGGATTTGAGCTTTTACTTTCTGGAAAAAGGTATGATTGTCCATTATAGGTTGTCACATTTTATTTCTCTTATTTTGTCAGATATTTTTTCTAAAGATTTCATGCTGATACAGTTTCATCATTATAACTGATCTCTAAAGTACATGAGGCTAAGAAGTGGCAATATCACATGGATAACCTGTCATACCTATGGAAGAGAATATTTATAGAACAGTGGGGTCTTTGGTGCTCTCTGTGTTTGAAAATTTTCTTGCAGTCGTTTTATTACCAAACTAGGTACCATCATCAGTACTAGCTCTGATTATGTTATCTAGCTTACTAAAGAAACATCTACAAAAAAAACCACACCCTAACCAAGCTCAGAAAGCACCAAGGACCCCATGATACTCTCTGAACTTCAGAACTGTGTAGGAATTTGAATGTTTTTGATCAAGAGATCAGTGTCACTTTCCAACCCAAAGAACTTGAATTTCTATATACTTGGAAATGTCAAGATTGTCTTTGGCCATATTATACAAATAAAAGATAGAATCAATGGCAATTGTTCTTGTTATTGTACGAATAGTTGTACACTGCCTAGAGTCACTTTTTGTGTTTTATACAAATTTGATTAAATAAATAAATATTCATTTCTATAATATTTATCTTTTAATGTGGAATTTTATAACTGCTGTTTTTATATTTGTTGTTACATTTGATAGTTGCATGTTGCCCAGAGTCACTTTTGGTAAATTGGGTGGCTATATGAATTTGAACAATAAATATTTATTTTTATATTTATCTTTTAATGTGGATTTTTATATTTTTATATCTGTTGTTTTTATAATTGTTGTTTTAATCTATTGTTACATATAGTCTAAGAGTTGCTTTTTGTGAGATGGGCAGTTGTATAAATGTGATTGATTGATGGATGGATGGATAGATGGAAATAGTGACATCTTAGTGTATATTAGATATTGCTAGGTAGACCTTGCAAATATGTTAAACCTCCTCTTTCTTTTTTTCTTTCAGCATTCGCTGCGTTTTGCTGTTTTAAAACTACAAATTTAATCTATCTCACAGTCTCTTGTGCAGTTTTAATAGCATCTCAGTTTCTACTGTACAATCATTTAATCTGTGCTAAAAACATTTATAATCAATTAAATTGGTAAACAAATATGAAAAGTCATTTAATTTATAAGTTGTTGTGGAAAAAGTCTTTTGATGTGCTATTAAGGTCAGTTGATCCTCCCATCACCATTGCAAAAACCCATCCCTCTTTCCATAGCATGCAAGATAGTTTTATCAGTTGGCCAGATTCAATGAAAAAGCAAATGTGGAATATTGAAAGGGTTTAGATTGAAATGTCCTATTGTGTCAAACAAATGGAAATGTACTAGTGTTATTTTGCGATAATAAATGGGATCAATTATAATCCTTTTTGAATAGTAGACTTGTACTTATTGCATATTGGCTAATTAAACAAATGAGATTGCTTTTCGCCATGTTTGCAGCTAGCGTGCCACCAAGATTACCTGGAAAGATTTTGTGACATATCTCAAATATGTCTGAACTTTCTTTGTCAAATCCATACTTGGGACAATACTCTTGTTAGGTCAACACTACTGTCACCACTACCCTTTAGAACCACATCTCCTCAAAGTTTGTACAGCCCCGACAATGTTGTCTTTCAGAAGAGTTTTTTAAAAAAGGATTTTTCTGGTGGGCCATAATGCAGATTGACTTTGTTTCCAAATCAAATATTTAAAGTTTACATTATTTTGGAATTTCCTTGAGGTCCTGCATTGTCCTTCCATTTTTATAACTGGTTCTTCTCTTTTACGATGATACAATGGTTTCATTAAAAAAAACCTGCATGCTACCTTGAAGTGTTTTGTGATTAGGCATCTTATAAATTGAATGAATGTAGGAATGAAAGAAATAAAAACAATATGTTTACACACATTTCTTTGTTGCTTATGTTGCTTTGGTTGGCCATAATAAAGGCATTGATAAATTATAGATTTTGCCATTTATTTCTTTTGTGGACTACCATAGTTGGGGTTGCTGGGTTTCTTTGGTCTCTGGATTAAATCATAAATCTAGAGCCCCCAATACACAAAGTAACATAGTTTATGTACACTTTTGGAAAACCAAGGCAAGTGATCATTAGCAAGTGATAGGCAATAAGCAATAAAATATTCTCACCCCTAGTAGAGGATAGCTCTCCCAGAAGATCAGTTCATTACTAAAATATTACAGCCCTCGCCCTTCTGTCCTTAATTGATAAGGTTGATTATCAGGCATGCAAAACTTTCTAGCTAATTTATCTGCAATTGGAAGAGGGGAGTGAGCACATTCTAAGTAATCTGTTTACAGCAGGAAGTGGGGAGCAGCCCTTTTTCTATGCTGTCCCCGTTCAGAATGATACGTTTTATTTGATAAGGCTGTGTTTTGACCTTCTAGGAGTTTTAGGGCGAGGATCTCAGCCAAGAATGAGAGGCCTAAAAGCAATATGAAGATTTTTCAACAAAATTGGATTTCTGTGGCTAAAACTAGCCCACCTTTCTACTCGTCCTTTCTGCTTTCTTATTCTTTCTATCTTCAGAACTGTTCTGCCTTCCTCTTCTCTTAGCTTCTCTTCTAGTTTCTCCTTTGCCTGGCATCCACTTACCTGCTTCCCCTCACAACTCTCCAAAATTCTCCACCTGCCACTTGGCTTTTTGTTGCTTTTGTCTCTACTAATATCCAGACCTAGCAATCTTTTTCTCTTTCTACAAAACCTCCTAAATATATTTTCACAGTACAGCAAGTAGAAAGCTCTTTGGTCCCCATTTTCTTTTCATACTTCCTCCTTTTCAACCTTCTCCTGCAGGGAGTTTCTAAGAATCTTTACATTCTGTAATTTGACTTTTTTTAAAGAAAAAAATGCTAATAGCTACACCCAACTGGAGGAAAGGTTCACACACCTTAATAAGTTGTTGCCAAGGTGGCATTTATGTCAGACTATGAAATGATGCCAGAGTGATTTTTTTTTTAAATGAATGTTCCTGAGGCAAGAGGAGAGGTTACCTCAAAGGAATTTACTCGAAAATCTATGGCGATAGAGGTAAATTCTTAATTGCAAAGCACAAGATGTTCATTTCAACCCACCTTTGGGTTTCAGCTTTCAGTTAGCAGGACACAACTGGTGGGACTTGGAAATGAGTAATTCAATCCACAAACAGGACTAATGTATTTTATTTTTCTGTTCCAGATCTGGAGTTTATTTACTCTTTGCAAGTATATGGATCTGGATATATGAGGCAGTTCAATTTTTTTTCTCTTCCTTCCTTTGTCTGAAAACGATTCATTATTCTTCAATAGACATAAACAAAACTCATACATGAGATGATTGATGTTTTCACTGTCTTGGGAGCTTAGACTTCCTCCATTTCACATGGAATGGTCCTGATTCAGGTTATGTAGTCATGTAATTACCAGTTGCAGGATGCATAAAATGAAATGAACTTGTCTACTGTAACACTGAGCAGAAGTAAAGGGAGGATCTTAGTTTAAACTGCCATATTATATCTACCCAAAATACTCAATTCCACACAAACACACAAACACATTTTTCTTAAAACTCAGAGCCGTATAAAATTCAGATCCATAAGCAGATACAAACACAAACACACCATGCATGGGGATTTTAAATTGCCACTTCTTATCTTACATGAGCAAATGCCATGATATCTTCTTAGTGATATTCATCTACTAGTACAGGGGTGTCAAACTCAAACTCCGGCCCATGGGGTCCTTTAATCTGGCCCATGGGGCCAGCCTAGAAATATCAAAGGTCCAGCCCACAGTGCCTCTGCCGGCCAAAAGCAGGCTAGGCGGAGGCCCCACGAGGCCCCCGCATTGCCCATTTTCAGCATCTTCAGGCTCCAGCAGCACTCTGCTGGCCAAAAACGGGCCATGTGAGGTCCCCCTGTGCCCCATTTTGGCCAACAGGGTGCTGCAGGAGTATGTCCGTCCCCTCTCCCTCCATGGTCCCCGCCAACACCCCTCCCAGCCCACGGAGAACTACAATGCTGATCTCGCTCTCAAGGAAATCCAGTTTGACATCCCTGTACTAGTAGGTATATATCTGAAGAAGAACTAGGTGTGGTAGACCACTGCATATACCTTGACCAACAGATCTCAATGGAAGGTGATACAATAAAGGAAATTAAATGAATGTGTTTAATGTGGTTGGCAGGCATTCAGCAAGCTAAGCATAATTTTGAAGAACAACCTTGCTCAATGCCTGGAAAGTGTGTGCTACCTGCTCTAATATATACCGGTGAAACATGGACACAAACCCCACAATAGATACAAAAGTTATGAATGGCGCAAAGATACATGCTCAGCATTACAAGACAAGATACAAAGACCTCACATGGATTAGAGAACAAACAAAACTACATAATATCATCAAGAGAGTAAAAGAATTGAAATGGAAATGGGCTGGTCACATGGCAAGAGGAACAGATGGCAGGTGGGCCAAAGCAGTCATAGAATGGATCCCACTTGATAAAAAGCATCCACGAAAGAGACCTAAAACCAGATGGATCGATGACATCAGCAAATATTGCGGGGCCAATTGGCAAAAGAAAGCTCAGGACCATATGGGTTGGAAACATGTGGAAGACAAGGCATCCTGCATTGGATAGACAATGGTTAAAATGATGATGATGATGATGATACGATAATTGAGAATCCATTTGATATAGTGATTAAGGCTTCAGGGTAGAAGCCAGGAGACTGTGAAGCCAGGATACTGCTAGAAGCCAGGAGACTGTCAGCTTTGGAAGCCATATTAGAATCTCCTGCTTCCTCACTGCCACATTCTTGAGCCTGGGAAAGTGGGAGGTGGGGAGTTCTTGGAGTGTATGTGGTTAGACATACTAGCATTCTTCTTCTAAGTCAAGATCATGGTAATCAGCACCTGGGATTGTTGCTGCAAATTGGCCACATGGTGGTCCCAAACTTGATGGTGCAGCTGGTGCTGGCATCTACTAGCATCCACTTTCAGTTTCGGGATTCCTTGTAATAAGTAAAAACTACAAATCCACCTCCCTGCACCGATTATCACATCACATGCCCCAATCACCATCTGTCTCAACTTGAGACATGCCCTCACCCAGGTGCAGAATAACATGACCTTGATTTAGAAGAAGAATGCTATTATGTCTAACTACATACACTCCAAGAACTTCTCCCCTCCTACTTTCCCAGGCTCAAGAATGTGACAGTGAGGAAGCGGGAGATTCTAATATGGCTTCCAAAGCTTACAGAGACCTTTGGCCAGTCATTTTCTCCCAGCCCTAAGAAGGAGGCAATGGCAAACTACTTCTGTTAAACCTTGCCAAGAAAACTGCAGGGACTTGTCCAGGCAGTTGTCAAGAAACTTTTTAGATTTTAATTCCAGGCATTGCAAACAGATCTATTCTGTATTTAGCATGGTACATAAATGGATATTTGCATTGAAATATTTCATACAAAACCTATCATAGGTAGCCTATTTTAACTTGTCTCTCAACAGCTTATATAGCTGCTTCTTATGGCAAAACTGTCTTTTGACAACCACAAGTTCTTGTTAATTGAACTATGAAACTTTATACAAACTTTCTAATGTAAATATTTGACTTACCCAACAAGGAACTCATAGTCTAAATATTTAGTGAAATATCCTGATAGAGTGTTGTTTCCATCAAAGAGGAAAAATATGTTACATATTATCTTGCATTTTAAAAGCCTTTTATTCTTTGAAACAATTAACAAAATAAAGTTAAACAATTGATGTGACATTTTAAAAGAATGCAATGAGTAATAGAAGGTTCCATAAATATGAGCTATGCACTACATAGTAAATACTATTGAAATCAAGTTTATCCCATATTATAAGGCCGGCTGAAAGATCTATATCAACAGTGACAAATTGAAAATGAGTTTTCAACAGCTGGCTTATACATTGCATTAAAAAAAAAAATTAAATCAAAAGTGGCTAGGTTCATACATGTATTAAAACATAAACCACAACTTAGAAACCACAACACTTGGATTTACACAGTATCCTAAGCTCAAAATAAACAAGATGCCTTATGGCCTAGCGTAATAAGAATTTGGTCACTGAAATCTAATTCAGAATATATAAATTTTGTAGAGCTATGGTTCAAAACTTTTTGCCAAATGCAGACCAAAATATTCTTTTTTTGCCCCTCTTTGAAAAATTTTCCTGCAGATTGTTCATGTTATCTATAAACGTCTGCATTATATAATTGGAGGTCTTCAAACAGGAGACCCTATACCATTTCAGGCAGGTGGCTGTCCAATCTTTTCTTAAAAACCTCCAGTGATGAAGCACTCACAACTTCTGAAGGCAAGCTGTTCCACTAATTAATTGTCCTCACTATTAGGAAGTTTTGCTTTAATTCCCGCTTGTTTCTCTCCTTGATTAGTTTCCATCCATTGTTTCTTCTCTTGCTTTCTGGTGCTTTGGAAAATAAGTTGACCCCTCTTCTTTATGACAGCCCCTCAAATACTGAGACACCGCTATCATGTCACCCCTAGTCCTTTTCTCTAGACAGAATTTGTTTGTTTGTTAGTTTCTTAGGTCTACAATATCCCACTTTCCATGTACTAGGAAGAGAAAAGGCTTCAATCGAAGACTAAGTTTTGATTATAAAGAGCAAAAAGATCTATCATGAGATTGTCACAAACACTGGTTGATACCTGGCAACACACAAAGCAGTTAGCAAGGTACACAACGTATTTGCTACTAGGATAGTGCTGCCTTTATAATCCTTCTATTTACTATATATGTTTGCCATGAATACACTTCCTTCTCTCAAAGTGCTAATTAAATTATTTATACATTATCATTAAGGGGATAAATGCCTGGGAGAAATTATGAAGAAACCATTTAAGATTGCCCATAAATGTCCATGTTTCTGCCACTAACCCTGCTTTCAGTTTC